GTTCTGTACATATAAATATATATAACAAATAAACGTAATTAAAGTAAATTATAATTTTCTAACTTTTTTCCCTGTGGGCAAAAAAGTACGTTCACAAACTAGATAGTCCAGTTGGAGGTACAGAGTAAGTAACTACCATTGATTACTAAACCGGGAGAAAGAATCTTCTGGTCACAACGTCTAGTCTCTTAAAAAATCGTTCGGAGTTGCAATACAGCCTATTAAATGTGTGAAAACGATACAGTGCATATGAAGAATCAGTCAGTATCAGAAAAACATAGCAGAAGCAACGTTGAAACATACGGAATATTATAGGCGTGAAAGAACTGACAACTTACTATTTCGGACATTAAAACACTGTTCTTCTATTACACATCAGATGCATTTTTATCATCAGATTCACATCATCAGATCATCAGATTCATAATATCAGATCATCAGATTCACCTCATCAGATCATCAGATTCACATCATTACATCATCAGTTCATCAGATTCATATTATCAGATCATCAGATTCACATCATCAGATGATCAGATTCACATCATCAAATCATTAGACTCACATCAGACAATGCAGATGTATTTTGAAGTAAACGAAAAAACAATATTGAGAGAGAATCTCCTAAACTTCAAAGTGAAAGATACAAATGCTCATCGTATGACAAGTTTTTTACCACGTTGTTTGATTTTATTTGCTAACGGACGTTTAAAAAGTTTTTTTACAAATAAATTTTAAAACAATATAGACATAATTTTTATATTAATTAATTGATGCAGTTACGAATTTGAAATGCATAGGTTAAAATGAGTTGATACACTATTGTAGCATTTAAAAAATTACAAAAGCATTAAATATTTTTTTAGTGTGAGAGTCAGACTTGAAAAAAATTTGGAGAAAAAATTCATTTTTCGTCTTTCGGTCCTTTTACATAAAATTTCTGATTCTTACATCACAAAGTGCTGCATGTTTTCCAGGAATCCATAATTTCTCATTCTCATCCAGCTTGTTTATTTTAATCGCCCATGATATTTTTTCTAGCGGCATTAGTAGGAAATCGATATAGCTTGAATTTCAAAGCTCTGTTTGAACAAGCCGACATGATCTATTTTTATGTAGTAGTTGAAAGCGATATAGACGTATCGGCACATATAAAAGCTAAAATAATGATTTTAAAGATCTGTATAGCAAAGTAAAAACTAACTTAATCTTTATAAACTATTGTAGATCGGAAACACCTGTTATATGACGTTTACAATTCTGTTATTTATCGTAATAAACTGCTGTTAGACACTTGTCATAAGTGCATTGGATGATGGCCTCAATATGCCATCCATAAACCACATGAACAGCAGTATCCAATCATATTTTGACCCCCCAGTTAATTGTTTGATTAAGTTCGTACCTGTTGGGCCAAGGCCACACGGGGCGACTATGTGGTGAAAGACAACGTATTTGGAATGGACCACTTCTAAATATCTAAATATTCATGAGGGTTTTCGAGCCGTCCGGTTTTAAAAAAAGTTGGTAATTTACTTAATGGTAATAACAAATCATACAATGCAAATGTTTGGCGGAAACAATAAAATTTCCACTTTGTAAAACGGCTGTTTATAGGCCGATATATGGCGAACTTCTGAACAACGTTACGCAGCGTGTGACAATAGTAATCGAATTATAAACTCGAAATGATAGTGAGAAATAATGAAATTCATTACAATATCCTGGCACGAAGATATATTATAATGAAATAGTTTCACGGCAAATATTGCATGTTAGTAAGTTGGAAAGCTTTTTCTAACATTGATCACTTTACATGAATTGCATATTGAGTTTTTTATTTCCTGATGTACTTGTGCTAAAAGTGTTCGTTAAAGATGTATTTTGAGCTCTAATATTGTGATGAATGGTTTTCTTTTTTACTACAATTTCACGTGCAGAATTTGGTTTTATTAAGATACGTAAATTTTTTAACACGCAATATATATAACTGCAATAGAGATAAAATGATTTGTCAAGTTGTTTCAAATTATATAATGTATGTATGCTTTGTATACAAAGTATACGTAATGAAGTATGTTTTGTATACTGTTTATACAGATTTCAGTTCGTTGATCTTTTCATTTGCATTTATCAACTTAACTACTAACAACATACAAGAAATATTAAAGGATACAGAACAATTTCAAGAGAATCAACGTTAGTAATAGCCAATAAAATTCCTATAGACATATTCATAGATAGTAAAATGGAAGTAAACAACACAAAAAAAACAAGCAAATTAATTAATTAACCATAAATACAAAACATTATGAAATAGACTCGCCAGCCGATTTCCGCACCCTCCCTCACCCGTCATGCACACATGCACAAGCAGTAGTCAATTATACTCCTAACAAATGCTCTATCATATATATTGATGGCTCTATATCAGAAAACGGTGTAGGAGCTACTTTCTGTCACATCAAGGACAATAAAATACGACAATGCTCGACATTTAAGCTAGAAAATCCTGCACAATAACACAAGCAGAAATAATAGTATTTTAGGATGTAACTTAATGCGTGGTTGATCCACGCATTAAGTTACATCCTAAAATACAAATATAACGACACACTCATATGTACAGACTCATATGTATCAACTAAAATTAGCAGTAAACTGCTAATTTTAGTTGGTAATTTTAGTTGGTATACTACAACACTTACCTACTCTTCAAAGCATGTTACACCAGACACAACACACAAATCTCTTGGATAAAAAGCCACTCAGCTTGTGGCGGCAATGAGCTTGCTGACTTGCTTGTCATAAATATTTGTCTAAATGACACAATTAAATACAGTGACGCATCTGTGGCATTCGTGGCATCTCCAACATTGGTCAATCACGGCATGGCAAACTCATTGGCAAGAAGATAATAAAGGACAGATTACACACAAGTACTTTCCGAAATTAAAAAGTAGACACAACTTCAAAATCATAACCCACGATTTTCGGCTAACACAAATACAGTAGACCCCTCTATAACGCTTAGATACGTTCCACGCTAACCGAAAATTACGTTGTAGGAACGATTAAATACATGAGCCAATCGCAGCCCGATAGGTGGGAACTTTACGGACTAAGGCTGTTTGAAAGGTTTTCTTCTATAAAATTAACCGATTCTAGACTAATTCCACTCAACATTTCCAAAATACGTATAATTTTTTGGGAATAATCTGTATAAACTATGCTATAAACAAAAAATTATAGG